TCCGCGCTCGCAACACCTCGAACAGCTTAAGCCTCGTCTTGGCGCGATATATCCGTCGTCCTATGGGTTGCAGCTGCCTCGTGGTAGCAGCACGTGTTCCTCTTTTCGGGGCAGGTGGTTGGCGTCGTTAAGCAATCGCCTCCCCCTCGACGAAGACCGAGATTTGAACGACGTATAGCCCATCGGCGAGCGAACGGAGAGGACGACAAGGAGCAAGAAGAAAAAAAAAACCGAGAAAGAAGGACAGGCCCGGCAGGCACGAGGCTCGTGACTATAAGCGGGCTCGTGGTACTTTTGCCAGGGAATACGAGGAAAATATCATCGAAGAAAGAGTTGGGAATTACCTTCTATAAAGCCTCTCGCGTTAATCAATAATTGTGCGTATTACTTGAATATAAATTTTTTCTTAAAAATATGTCACGAGAATGATAATATTATATATCGAATATGAGAAAGAGTGACGTCGAATTTTTTCTCTGGGAGAAGGGTGAATTTATTAAATTAAAGTTAAATAAATTCTATACTTTATTGATTCGTTATCAGTTATTAAATAGTAGGGATTGGGATAGAAGTGTAGTAAGAATGGAAATTATAAGGCAGAATTTTCTTCAATATATACTTTATTTACCAAAAAATATAAAAGTTGAGAACACGTGGTATAGTTTATATCAATATTTGTAGAATGCATGTAGAATTTTCTATACGAAGGGCACTCTAAAGCAATGAGGTGTTAGGTGTTCCTAGAATTGATATCTGTTCATTGCCGCAATATAATGAACAATCCGCGTGATGTCGTTTCAAGCGGCCAATCGCGAAAAAAGAGCATAACGAGAGGATAATGCGGCCCGGGCCACGAAAGAGGGACGGCGAAGGTGTCCGTTCGTCTGCGGGTGCCCGCTGCAGGAGGACCGCGATCAGGTGTACGAGGGGGAAGAGGGCGAAACGATCGGCAGGTGGTGCCGAGAGGTGCGCTGCTGATATACGCGCGCGTCGTGACCGGTTTCAAGATCGCCGTGGATCTCCGCCGTGCGGTTTACCGCCGCTTAATAAGCCGCTACACGAAGGACCTACCGTCGGCCCTAACTGCGTGCACGATAAATCTCGTAGCGCAACGCGCGACGTTACATACGAATTGCGCGATTGCCGGGATCTGCGACGCGATCGGGCAGGTGGTGGCCGCGGCCGACTCCTTCGGACTCATGGCTTCCTGCGGAGTAAATGAAGGTCACATCGAGCGTATGGACCTTTCGCATTTTACACCTCGACTTTGGAAGATACAAGAATTTTTATCTCGCTAACATTTTATCATAATCTAATAAGTATACCAAGTTAAAACATTACTATAGCAGATATATCAATATTGAGACGCTAGAAATAGATTTAAAATTATGTATTTCTTATAAAAATATGTAGAAAAACATTGAAAAAGATAAAGTGTCGTGAGACTAAAGTCGAATTTTGATGAAAGTGATTTTATCTGCGATGTTTCGTTAGTAATATCTCTTCACAGTTTACATGAAATTGATATCTATATCAACAAGAATACAACGTCATATTATTAATATTACTTTATATATTTTATATTGTTATCGTAAATTTTAAGAAGCAACTTTGTGGTTTTATTTTTTATTGATATTTAATCATTTTGAATTTTATTGGGCCAAAAATGGTTTTCTTCGGAGACGATTATCACAAAGCGATAGGTTTCAATTTCATACGCGAGTGTGTCGAGTATACGCGTTATCGGCGATTCGATCGAGCCGTAAGAGCTGCAGTCATGCTGGTTGAATAAGGGTGGACCACCTCCACACGACTGGGTATCCCTTCGAAGGTTTTCTGACAAAAAAAGGGCGAGCACGAGCTGATGCAGGACGCGGGGGCAATGAAGTTTTCCGTCCTTTTTTTCCCCGTTTCTCTCTTTTTCTTGTTTTTTTTTCTTTCGGTAAATCAGATGCAGCCTCGCCTCTCACCTCCTCCGAACCTGGAGCGCAACAGTTGGCGAGGAGGAAACATCTGTCGGTCGCAGCGCATGCGTATCCTTCAGGTAAAAACTTGAAGGGGTTCAGGGATTCTCAAATTTTCGGAAACTGAATTCGCGAATATTGGACCGTACAAAAAATAAAGCACAGATTTGAATAAATCAAGAGATGAAGCTTTTACATAAGAGAAATTAAACGTACGATTCAATTATGTCAGAAAGAGAGAGAAATTTGCATAAATTAGATATAACTTATTGCAATTTAAAATTGAATGGAGAAAAATTTATATTATAATTATAAAAAGGTACATTTTTATATTCGTTAAGACTATTGAAGATTAGAAAAACGAAACTACATATGATGAAACACGTGATGCGCATTTCGAACACGGGAAATTAGGTTGCCTGCTCCCGTGTTCAGTTCGTCGTAGTGTTTTATTAGAATTCCCTTCGTCTATATCCGGCGACGTAACTTTAGAAACGACACTCGCAAGAAATAGGGCCAAATGATGTCGACGAAGTGCAGCGCTTCGGATTTTCGGTCAGCGTAACGGAGATGACTGAAACGTGTAGTGTTTGCCGTCGTAAAACGACCTCGTGGAGAACGATGTGCTCCCCGTTAACTCATATTCGTCGAATCACGACATTAGAAATTTTTTGAGATATCTATTTCTGTCAGTCTTATATCTTACACTATAAACATAAAACGATACAGAAGAGCAATAAAATATAGAAAGTACATTTTTGTTTAATATTTGAAAGATATTTCGTAAGACAAGATATTTTAAGACAATTAAAGTTAGAAAATATTATTTCTTCTCACAATTTTTGTCAATTAATTTTTTATTTTTTATTATTGATTTATATATTTTTTTATATATAATATATTCGCTTAAATTTGTATCGTTTTCGATGATTGAAAATAAGCTTAAAATCTAAGTTAAAAGTTCCATTACAATTATGCATACATTGCTAAAATTAAATTTTCTCCCATTTACAAAACCTTATAATTTACATACATAAATTACCACTTCATACTTCTTAGGCATTTCTTCCCGAACTTCTTGACATCTGCGAGACATGTATGTTGAAAAGTTTGTTCGACAAGTACCGGTTGAGAAAGTTCGGGCTAACTTATGCCGCGTCATTTATTTAGCCATCTTGAGGGCCTCGCATGACTCACGCCGAAATTACATGTCCATTTTTGCAGGCGAAGGGTGCCGCGAAACACCCTTCATTATGCACATCGGCCACGCTATACGTATAATCGCACGGTCTTATATCGATTCTAATGTAAATGTACCGTTCACCTGAGTTTTCTGTTAGTCATAAACGCGGTACTCAACCCACTCAAAGCCGATTATAATTTTATTGAATAGTTCTCGTAATTTTGTTTTCTTCTTTGTCACCCAACTAAAATTGAAATTTATTTATTTTATGAAATAGGAGTATTAATGAATGAAAAAGTCCTATATTATGAATTACTCGTCGTTTCTTGCTAAAATTATTGTAATAGTAAGATTTGAATATATATTCTTTCATAAAAGTGTTTAAACAAAACAATATTAGAAGAGTCCGTCTTAGATTTTAATATTAGACGATATTGGAATTTTAATGTTCATTAAAGGATAATCGATGATGTATGTAATTTTTCTTATATTTCATTGATTCGAAATAGTAATGAAATTGTGTCTAAACATAATTTAAAAAAAATTAAATTTTTGTGCTTAACAATTTTTTGTGTTTCCATTTAGACGTGTGTAAATTCTTGCGGCTGGAAACGTGTATCAATGCCGTTAGGCCAGATAATCGCGCTTCTTCCACAGGAAACGTTCGGAACTTGTGATCAAAACGCAGAAACCAAGAAAATGACACGTCTTCGCCGCAACGAGGAACGAGTTAGGTCGACAAAACCGCAATATATTCATACTTTGCGAAGAGAACCTTCAAACGTAGGATTACGTGCGAAGTTCTGCGAACTTATATAAGTAGACAGATGTATTTTTGTGCTTCCCTTTGAATTCGCGGTTATTCCTCAGCAATTTAATCAGCCGACAGATTTTTCTCGTTTTCGCGACGCGGTGGTCTTTATTACGAAACGGGTAATATCGTAACTAGTTGCCAATTTAAAATGCGTTTTTCCAGAGTAACCGCGATTTTTTTTTAGTGTTATTTTTGCATCTTTCTGTATGATAATGTATTAATATTTAAGTTTTGTCACGCATGTGCGCGCGTAATTATCGTATCTATAATATCATCTATAATACGTTTTATTCCCGGAAAACCGGATACGGCTATTTATTATTTCTATCCCGAGGCTTGTTATATAAAATGCGTGGCAGAGAAGGCAGATGCGCCGATAAGTATCGAGTTCCTTCAGCTGGCTTGGCTTGTTCTGCTAGATGTCAAGGTCCTTAATAGATCCTAGTTCCGAGCGGAACTTCCGATTTGGAAATTCGATAAGCGCGGAAGTAGGTCGCGATAGTTCAAACTATTATTCCCGCGCGTAACGAGTCCTTCGAGGTTCACTTATTTACAGATTCCTGAGAAAGTTATATAACAAAGAATCCTCTGTGAGAAATAGGATACTATTAACCTCTGTGCTCAATGAGATTACGAAGGTTTCTTTCTTCGTAAATACGAAGAAGTGCGAATAATATTCGAAAAATATTTTTATTTAAAGAGTTGTTATTTTTATAGAAGACAGATATGCTTTTTGTCGACGTTAAATTTTTTTGAAATCTTTATAACAATTCTTATAGCTTTAATCTTACGTTATTATATGAAATGCAACCAAATTGGATTCATCCTTCTGAAATTTTAAAAGAAATTATACATAATTTTAAAAACGCAATTTTTCCAATGTTTCGCGACCATAAAAATCAGTAAATTTTTCTCTTTTACTTTTTATTTAATTAAGTTAGTCAAACTAATTATAAAACAGCCGAGCTACGATAAAACGCTTTGCTGGAAATAGATTGCAACGGGGATAAAGTGCAGGTTCGAAAATCCAGAGATGATTTTGAGAGACACTGCGTATCTGTGCCGAGCGCCACGCGACCGGGTCGTCCGGTCGGGCCGGGTGCCGGGTGTTGTTGAAATCAACGTGGTGGGGTTCCTTCGACGAGCCTACAACCAGAGCCTTATGCCTTCAGTCGACTCTCGGCTCTCACTGCGACTCGAGCTGGCTGAGATTCCGTTAATTGAGTATCGAGCAGCCCGAAAACGCGCCTGGCTGCTTCAGGTGCGGGGCCATCCCGTCGCATTGAGCAGAAGAATCAACAGCAGCAGCAGCAGTAGCAGCAACAACGAAAGAAAAGGAAGAGGAAGAAGAGATTTCTCTACAGTTCTCCAATTACATCACACACTTGGCGACTCGAGGAAGTAAACCGTGTGAGATCCGATAGGATCTTATAGAAGATAAAAATTGCATCGAAGAGGCTTATTGAGAGGAAGTGAAGGGAATCGAAGGAGTAGTGGGGAAGGAAGTATTCTACTGCAAGTCCTCGAGCAGTGCGATCGGGACTTGGCGTGAGTCGACAATCTCTAACCGATCGCGACTGGCCTATAGTCCGGTTACTACTCCAGTCCGAGTCAGGTCGGTCACCTCAATGAGTTTGGAGCTTACCGTGCGCTGCACGGTTCGTTAATAACGTGGGTGGTTGCAAGATCGAAAAAAAAGATCCGAAGAGAGACACCGAAAGCCGAGTGGTCAGCAGCGAAAGCAATAGAACGGACGGTCGAAGCAAGAGGGACCAGCCGATTAACCAGGTTTGCAGAGGGTGCGGCCGGAGCCGGAAGGGTTAAATAGATGCAGGAATCTGCAAACGGCGCCGTCGTACTCTACCGAGAAAAAACATCGGATATCTACGCTCGAAGAAATTCGCGCGAACGTGCCTGAAGGACGATTTCCTGTTCGAATGGATTGTGCTTGTGAATTCCGATTGTTTTTACAACGTTGATAAGGGAATCTTCTTTTCCATAAGAAAACTGTCATGGGAAAATATCGATTTCAGCTTGTTGAAAATTTTATTTAGTTAGTCACCGCCAATAGCAACATCTGAAAATTATCGAGACGGATATTCGCAAGTACTCGCAAAATAAAGTATCCATTTATTTTGTAGCTGACAAGTATCACAGCATCCAGATTTGTTAATAACGGCTTCTTTTATTTACTGAAGGACTCACTGAAGGAAACTTTACATTCTCTCGATAGTTTTATAGAGAATATATATGGTGAAATGATGTATTTATAAATGATTGATTATATTTAAGATATATTAGTACTTGCAATTTTCTCGGTCGAGAAATTTCGACCTGGGACTTGTGTAATAGTTCGGATACATTTCATCTTGCTTGGATGACACCGGACGGGATCTAACAAGATTTCAGGGTAGCTTAATCAGAACGATATCGCAAACATGTTGTGCGGCACATTTAAGAAGAGAAGCAGGCAACCGGGAGACGAGTATCGGTTGGTTAGATCGAACACTATGCCGAGAATAGTATCGGGACCGAGGGATGTCAGCTTGGTGTCTGTGCGAAGAACAAAGTCCACGAGGACTGCCTGCACTCGACCCCTGCTGATCAAGGACCTACTGCATACGGTAAGGTCAAAAACAGATAAAATGCCAAAAAAACGTATAGAGATGTTGCTTGTTATATGGAAATTCCTATAGTAAAAACTGCGGAATCTATTATAAGAATAAAATGATTCTGCAAATAGGATTTTCACTTTAGTTTGCAAATTTTTTTAGAGAAAAATGACAGATATATTTTACGATTCCTGTAAGTAAAAAACTGAAACATTATAAATAATATTATAAATAATATTATAAATATTGCATTATGAAATTAAAATTAAATTATTCGTGGAGAGACAAGATAATTTATATATATTTGTTTAATCGATTTTTTCATATCGAATGCATTACTACACGAAACAAGATTTCCGAATCCAAGGCTTGTATCAATACTTTCTTTTAATAGTAACTTTTTTTTATATTTGTTTTATGGTGACTTAAAATGCATTTAATGTTGTTATACCAAATAATACGAGAATCGAAAATACAAATACATATTCGGCTTGTTACTCGCGTCAAGTTAAGAACATCGCGTTGCAAACCAGTCAGCCGATTGATCCTCAAAGGATTCGGACCGTCTCAAATCTACATACATGAATACGAATGCGTCATGCAGTTTGCATATGTATGCCGGCTACGGCGTCGCGCCGTATTCGTATGCATGCATTTGTCCGTATAATTTACGACGCCACACGACTTTAACTTGGAAGCTACATCGTGCGCCGGGGGTGCATCGTAGCCGATTAATTAGCGATTCCGCGTATTTTCTTCGATGGTAAAGCTGGTAACAATAGTGTGACTGACAAGATAAGATTTAATGCTCGTCTCGCCGGGGTATAAGAATACGGCCAACTAGATTGCACCCGATGTTCAATCGTTTTTAGTCGTTTATTTGCGGGATCTAATAAAAATTCACTTATCTTGAATTTAAATGCGCGGAGATCGTCGATCCTTCTGGTATCAATACGTTCGATCCACTCTGCGACGGCCTCACGTTTTCTCTCGTCCTTTTCGTTCTTCCCGAAAGCATCGCGCTACTCCTTTTTTCGGTCTAAATCCGGCAATGGCGAGGCGCCTCGGCGCCGCCGCCGCTTCGGATTCTCCCGTGAACCGAAAGGCAGGGACTGACTCTCGAGGTTTGCCTTATAAGGTGTTCCGCGGGATGCCCAGCGTCCATTAGAAATCCTTTTGTCGGTTCCGATCTCTTTTTCCGACGGATTCTCTCAAAGGGCCACCCTACCGCCGCGGCATTCGCTCCTTCGAAATCATTCACTTGCTGGAAAAAAAAGATTCGTGTTATTTTTCGAAAAGGACCTGGTTAATCGTATTTTAAACACCAAACGTGAAAGAACTGTAACATTGATTTGTGGAGCATCATAAAATTGAGAAATATCTTAATTTTAAGAACTTTTCTTCCAGAAATATTTATTTATCTCTAAAATCTAACACATCATTTTACTTTAAGATCAAAAATTTGAATATCACGAGGGGTCTGTAAAATTTAATCGAAGCTAATTTCATTAATATAGAGTAGCCACAAAATCTATAATAAAAATTAAATTGCGATCGATATTATAACCGATAAACTGCGGTGATTCGGTGTCGTTCACTTCTATTATCCGTGCAGCCTCTTTACCAGCCGCTGATTGGCTGTTACCCATAGAAGAGTTTTTTTCCTCGGGTAGAGAGAATTTTAATGCATAACCGGCGCGAATGAGAGTTCATGAATATGCACATAAATATAGAGAACGAGTATATGGACGCGAGGAGCCTTTTTGCGGGATTCTCGAGTATTAACGCGAAAATATTCGTTGCGCGGTTTGCGCCGGACCGAACGCATCTTCCTAGTCGAAAGAAGAAATTTTGTCCGCGTTCAAAGACTGCAACGTGGAGTTTACAGGAATTTAGCTAGTGCAGATTCGAATTTGTCAAAGTCAGCAAATAATACGAACAATATTCAGATTACACCTATAGGATCCATTTAATCCTGATATTATGTGATAGAAACATCAATACAGATTAATTCGCTCGTTCAGAATTAATCCTGATAATTGTAACAATGCACACAATGCGTTGGCAATATCCGATAAGATTTATAACCATTAATTGTTTTTCGCTAACTATATATATGTATATGATGAGTTTTTATTTTATCATCGGAAGATACAGCAGTTTTTATCTTTAAATTCTAAACAAAAAAAAGAAGTACTTTGCTATATATATAATATTTCTAATTTTCATATTTTATTCTATTATTACATTCTATTATTTCCTCCGCTATTCTATTCTTATTAAATTCAGCACAGTCATCGCACTCAACTCTAAAATACTTGTATAACTCATAACGTTTTTCTAATTACAATAAAAAGAAAAAACAGATAAGTAGCTGCCATTTGCTTTTCAGCCGTTTGTCAATTTATCAAGCGTAATTTTGCTTCCTCGAGAAGAAATATCGCAAAGTAGCGCGTTAATCAGCGCGGTTTACATCCTATCATCCGCGAAACCAGGTCGCCCGCGAGATTGTAATCGGCGAATCCGAACCTTTAGACGAATCGCGAAATTTCTAAGAATGTTCGCATAAAGACAATAGTTTCGCCTCGGATATTACGAGGGAAGAGACGGAACGAGGAGAAGAAGAATTGGAGCTGCGGAGAGAACGCGTGCGCTTTTTTCGCCGCTGCAATTTGTGTACCTCCACCGCCCTTTGTTCGCGTTTTTTTTTTGTTTTCAACCCGTTCCTCTTGCTCTCTCTCTTTCTCTCGTCTTCTTCGTCCTCCCGCGCCGCCGCGAGATTCTCCATCGCTTTCCTCTTCGTCTCTCCGCATCGCGAGATATCCCGGCGCATTCCTGCGTATCGTGCCGCAGCGATTTAGGCCTCCCCAGTCAATGGCCCTTAGGTCCCTGTTAGAACCCGCTCGGCGAGCTACGTGTGAAGCGTTAGATAAAGTTTATTTAAGATGAGAATGCATTGTTTTATTATAAGATCAAGAAAAAAAAGCAAAACTGCTTTTGCATCGTCTATTAAATCACTGTTACAATTCTCCTTTTTTTAGAATTGAATTCTACAAAGATACGATAAGAGATCTAATTTATTTTTGCGTTTTTTTTAATTAAAATAGTTGGTATAAAAATATTTTAATTAATCTCTTATCTTATTTTATCGAAATCTTAATCAAAAGTTTTCCGAGATATGTATGATTAAAAATTCCTGGACACTCGTTGAAAATTGAGATAATGAAAGTAGAAAGTAGAGAACTTTTACCCAGAAAAACATCATTTCTAAGTTTATCGAGTATTATAAAAAGCATCTTGTATATTTGAGCAATACCGTTCGTTTGTGTAACATTACGAAATTCATTAATGCGCTCTTTTTCACTTTCCGGTTGTCGGGCGAAAAGAGGGAGGGGGAAAGGGACGCTGATAGCCTCCTATTAAAATCATACTGCACGAGACATTTCCTCTGAATTGCGCAATTAGTCCTCTGCATCTAGTATGCTAATTTTGTTATAATTATACCCGATGGCAGATATGTTTCGACAAAAACGTTGTTACTATATTATTAATCCGAGAGCGATCGCCAGATGTAATTTACATCCCGACGCGACGGCTCGATTTACTTTCATTCGTATTCATTGCAATTAATTTGATAATTTTACCCGATAAATTCCGCTTTCCAACTAATCAGCCAAATAACCATCAGAGTATCATGTGCCGCCGCGGCACGAACAAAAAGGGTAACTCATCATACTTGCTACATAACGAGTTGCATATTGATTTATAGATGAAGTGCAAAATACTTAGCCGACATGATCGAAAGATCACACATTTATTCTCGAAATAAAAATAAGTAAACGGGTCGATAGATAAATTCTACACTTTTATTATCTACCATTATTAGTTAACGTCAAATAAGTAAAACGGCACATAATGCACTCTAGCTATAAATATCTATGCGTCTCATTACGTAGCGAAAGTTAGACTTAAATATTTACGAGATAAAGTTATAAACATGATCGCTGCATAAGTATAGTCTCTTATTATTTTATATCATTATTTGATCGTAATTTTTCCGTAAATCTACTTTCTTTTTTTTCTCTCTCTCTTTCTCTTTCTGTCTGCCATATTATCTCTCTTATTATTATCGTTATTAAATTGTTGTCGATTTTCCTGGAAACTAGACGATCGCGAATCGTTCTTGAGAGACGACGCGGCGGGCGGCTGGCGTGTACGCTATTAACTCTAATTAGCGATTATTAGAAGACATTCCGCAGAGAGACGGCGCCGCAAATTGAAGGCGGCGCAAACCGGTGTGAACGACAGAACAACGGGGGCAGGGGACGAAAGGGGATATAACGGCCTGATTAAAACAAATCGTCGACCGGCAGAAATGAAATTGCTAGTCGGCCAATGCGCCGAGATAAGCGGTCTTTTGAACCAATTTTGCTCCGTATGGAGCATTGCGAAAAGGGCAATTTATTGCAGTCCTTATTTATGTTTCGACACGCCTTTAGAAGCTTGAGAAAAGTAGAAATGAGAAAAACACACATTTTTTAAGCAGATTGAAATAAAAAAAATGTTAAAGTCGAACAAATTTAAAGTGATCGAAGCATATAGAAAAATAATTAAAATCTACTAATTACACTGAAGTAATTTTATTAATTCTGCTAGTAGTAAAGATTGTAGACGAAATCATTTTTCAAATGAACGCGCGGAAAACTTGCATCGACTGTGAATACTGAGTCTGCGATTTTATCGCGTCTGGCTCCAAATTGAATCCAGACGAGAAAACGGGTACAAGTGTCATCATACACTGACGAAATAACGCGCGTACCTCGCGGGATATGATATGAGACGCTTTCGCGCGTTACTGAACGCGTGATTCAACGGAATAATCGTCGATGATGCAACGAAAATGAATTGCATAAGTTTCTTATGAAAAGGTCTGATTAATTGTGGATTTAGAGTAACATACGCATAAGGTACATTGAACATCTCTCGTCTCTGATTGCACAGATAACTTTGAT